TTCATCTTCAAGAATTAAAATAAAACAATTTTCTCACAGCACGCATAACTACATCATGTAACTAGGTGTTGAGAATTAAGCTCAATTTTCCTTCAAATCTCATTGCTTAACATCACTTTATTTTTTAAATGCTTAAAACACCAAAAAGGCAAAAAAATTAAGGCTATACAAACAAGAATTTAAATATTTTTTCAAGTCAACGATACATTGACTAAAAATATTACTAATGCAATTTTGATGGGCCACCGATACAACCCAAAGTGGGCCCCATCTCATAAGGCCCATATTTGTAAGAGCCACGTGGCCCACGTTTTTAATTTGGGCCAATAATTCGGACAAGCCCATTTTTCTATTCTACGGTAATTATCTCTCTTTCTCTCTCCCCTCTTCTCTCTCTTCTCTCTCTCTCTCTCTCTCTCTCTCTCTCTCTCTCTTCTTCTGCTTGTTGTTCTGCAAACCACTCATCTCAACACCATCTCCGTTTCCATCTATCCCATTAAAGGGTAAAACAAAATGCAAGCAGTAATAGCTTCCAGCAGCTCCGCCGTACCTCCGTTCAGACCCCACACCGCCACCAAGACTCTCATCTCCGGCAAACATCTCCCATTTCTCGGCCGCCGCAAGCTCTGCTGCGACGTCGTTTCACGTCTCCCCGTTCCATCTCCCACTTCCCGGTAAAATAGCTCCCGTACTCGTACATTTACATTCTCGATTTTCCCAAATTTTCCAGGCTATTAAAAATGGGCAACTTTTTTTTTTTTATTTTCCTTCTGCAGGGGCGACGGTAAAGAAGACATTTTTACCGTGGAACAAGGTTTATTGCAGGATAATTTACCTCGTACAACGCGTCGTACGTTCTTCGCCCGTTTATTAGTGTCCACGTGTTACTCTTATCTTCTTCCTTCAAGGTACTTCCAAGGTCTGCACTTTTTTCCTGCTCCAATTTTTCATTATTTTAATAATAAGTGAATTTCTTTTTCTCCATTTAATTTCCTCCGATAATTCAAAAACCCAGGCCGAAAAATTCATTCATTTAATTACAATTTTGTACAGCATATGCATTAGGAGATCCGTCAGTTACAGTTGAACAAGTCACCCCTTCAGTTTTCTCAGCTGGTCCACTTTTCCCAACCGAGGTCTATTTTTTTTCTCTGCAAATTAAGTATTTTTTTTTTTAATCCTAAATTTTTCCCTCCAAATTTTTTGTTGTTTTCTAATTAGTTATCTGTAAATTTTCAAATTTTGGCATGGCAGGTGAATTGATATGGTAATGGTTGGTTGTCTCTACTTGGCAGGAAAGAATTGTCAAACTATTCGAGAAGAACACTTACTCTGTCGTCAACATATTCGACGTCACTTTGAGGCCCCAATTAAATGTCACCGGTGCAGTCGAGGTGAATATGCGTTTTTCTCATCTGCCGTTATGCTTTCAATACTTAATTATGTGTATACTAAAAGAGTTTCGAACGGACTTGTGAATGTGTAGATTCCCGAAGGGAACGGCTCGGGAGTTGTCTGGGATGAACAAGGTCACATTGTCACAAATTATCATGGTATAATTTGCACGGAAACCAAAAAAATATATATGCCGTATTATAATATATATCACAATGTATTGAAATTGGTTGTTGCGTTTTTATATTGAGCAGTTATAGGCAATTCTCTTTCAAGAAATCCAAGCATCGGCCAAGTTGTTGCTCGTGTTAATATTCTAGCTGCCGAAGGGTGAGACACTCGAGAATTTCTTGCTAATGTTCTTCTTTTTCGTAAATTT